AGAATTGAAAACAATGGTGGGGGATGATTAGTAAATTGAAATGAAAAAAATTTGTTTAAAATAACAATGGAGGAAGATGAGGCAAGCGAAATTTGTAAATGATAAACGGAGAACTAAAATGGAGAACTAAACTCTCTTTTTATATATATATATATTAATATTTATCCTGCACGTTGTGTGGGTTATTCAAGATATATATGAGTTTGGTGACATAACAATTGTATGACATTTCTGACGGAGTGATATATGTAAAAAATTAATATTAATGATATAAATTGCAGCTGTGTAATTTGTTTTTTTATTTTAAATACATTTGAAATAATTTTCAATATTTGAAATCATTATATGTAACTTATTATCCATTTTTTTTATTTTATTCATTTATGGCTTTATATCTTTTAAAAGATTTTTTATAATGATCTCTCTAAATATTTTTACCCATATCATATCTTTTAAACTCCCACTCTAACAAAAAAATTTCTCATTATTTCTTTTCATAAGTTTATTTTTATTTTTCAGCAATCTATATACTTTTTGTAATCCTTCTTTAGTAAGTTTTTCATATATTTTTCTTACAACATAATTATTTTTTTATTGGTTGCAGAGTGTTCACCTTTTTTCCCTAAATTTGATTATCTCGCTTTACAATTTCATTTATTGAAAAAATTGAAATAATTATTTTATTTTTCACTATTATCTCGGTTTCTTTTATCACATTTTCTTATTCTCTACATAATTTTAACCTCCATATAATTAATTTCAATTTCTCAATATACTTTTCTTCTACTGATTGTCTTTCACAAAGACCTTTATTCTTTTTCCATTTTAAAAAGCTTTTTCCCTATTGATCTCTACGTTTTGTTTTATCATCATACGTTAAATTTTTCTATCATTATATCATATAAAAGAAATATAATGAATCATCTAATTGATTTTTTTTTATAGTTTTCTATGGATTATCAATTTTCATCAAGGTTAGAAGCTATATCGATAAAAAATCGCATACCACACTTGAATTCTAAGATGAAATATTTAGCACCAATATAGAATATTAATTTCTTAAATATGATGAACTCATTTTAATTTTGGGCAACTAAAAATATGCATCTTACTACATTTTTTTATCTGGACATGTTAAGTGATAGATTAATTTAAATACTAATTTCTTATAATTTTTTTAAAATAATATCTTATATGATAATAATGATATTAAATTATATTTAAATTTAGTACATATTCTTCCACACATTTAGTTCCGTTATACGGTGATTGTTTTATTATCATAGTAACTTTTAGTATTAATATATTATACTATTCCCTGCACGAAGCCTCTAATTAGTATAAAAGAATAGCTATTTAATATTATTATATTTATGAAGCCTTGCAATGATATTTCGACTCCACAAGTTTGGGTGAAGTTATGTGTGATTCATAGTTGGGGGAATTCCATTAAATATAATTAAAAAATAATATTAATGATATGATCCAATTAATAAACTTAATGATATTAATTAGAGTGAACCTCAATACAAGTCATCAATCTTTAATATATTTTCACTCTAGATCATCAATTAAATTTATTTGTAGCACAGATTACCTTACTAAAGTTTTAATCCATTTCAGACCATTCTGTTAATTTTGGCCGTTAAATAGTGATGGAAATCCATTTTTCACATGCTTTTGGGTTCAGGGGTATTTTTGTCATTTTATTATTATTTTTTTAATTTTTTAAATCTTTAATTTTTATTTTTTTTTTACAATTCTTCTTCTTATACTTCCTAACTTGTATACACTTGTAGTACAATTCTAAATTTTAAAAATTATTTAAACAAAAAAAAATAAAAGAATTAGCTAACAAGTTATTTCTTCTAGGTTATTTAATTTTTTTCAACTCGATTGAATTATTTAACTATTAATTTTCGCGTTTCTTATTCCTTTTTTGTAATGTAGAAGTTAAGATACAAATGAAAAATAAATTCGTTTTTGAAAATTAATTTTTTATTTGTATATTAACTTGTAGATTATTAAAAAAAATGAATAAGAAACATGAAAATTAATAATTAAATAATTCAATCAAGTTGAAAAAAATTAAATAATCTAGAAAAAACAACTTGTCTTAGCTAATTATTTTAATTTTTATTTTTTAAAAAAATGGTAAATTATTTATTTTCATGTTTACTTTAACTCGAATTTTTCTTCTTCATTTCTCAATTTTTTTAAAAAAAAAAATTATAATCTAGAAGTTAAAATACAAAAGGAAAATAAATTTTTTAAATTTAGAATTATACTACCAGTGTATACAAGTTATGAAGTATAAAAAGAAGAATTGTAAAAAAAAATTTTAAAAAGATTAAAAAATACAAATAAAATAATAAAATGACAAAAATACCCCTGAACCCAAAAGCATATGAAAAATGGATTTCCGTCACTATTTAACAGCCAAAATTAACAGAATGATCTGAAATGGATTAAAACTTTAGTAAGGTAACCTGTGTTACAAATAAATTTAATTGATGACCTAGAATGAAAATATATTAAAGGTTGATGACTTGTTTTGAGGTTCACTCTAATTAATAATAATTTAACACGTTTAAAAAACGTGTATGCAAAGTTAGATGTTAAATGTGCAAATTGTTATCCTTTCGGTTGGAAAATTATATCTTGTTTTTACACGTTATTTTTTATTGCTTTTGCTTTCTTTTTTGAGGTAAAAAAAAAAATTAAATTGGGTAAATTGATTATTTATAGATTTTACTGATTTATAAATAAAAAATTATCATTAAATGATAGAGTGATGTGGTTGCAACATATGGACTTGGTTATCTAAATTTTTGACACGTAGATTACCATGTCTAATTTTACGCCATGTGTCCGATTGAAAACTCCCCTTTAATATATATATAGAGATATTAGATAGATTATTAGATTAGGTTAGGTAAAAATTAAAAAAAAAAACTATTAAAAAAAAAACAGATACCAATCAAAACACAAGAGAACAAATAACTTGTAAGTTGTAACATGGAAAAAATATCGTTCCTACCGAAAGTTTTGCCCTCAGCGTCAATCATACCTAATAGGTTTTCGGTTAGCCAACTTTACTCTAATGTTTGAAAATTTCGCCAATTTCGTCCAATCGGCCCATTTTCTATCCAAATTAACAGATCTATGTTAGTTTATTAATAAAATAATAATTTTAATTATAAAACACCCCAATAATTTTTAAAATTTTAAAAATAATCTCTAAAATATATAAAAAATAACAAAACAATCCCTTTTCACTTTTTTATTTTATTTTTCTCTATTTTGTTCCATTTCTCTCAACTACTTTTAATCACCATAAAAGTCTATTATATGAGTTTTTAAAAAATATTTATTTATTTTCAAACTCTACCGTAAAATTAATCTTTGTATAGTTGTAACCATGATTGTTTTATATAAGTATGTTAATTTTTTTCATAATATAGTTTAGCTATAAAGACACTATTTTTCTGATTTATTTTATTTTTCCTAACATAAAGATTAAAAAAAATTTAAATGAAACTAATATTCCGCATAAAAATAAAATATTAGCTCAAATAAAAAAATATTAATATATTTTAGTATGTTATAATTTAACTTAAGAGACCATAACTTGCATTAATATAATTCATAAAAAAAATAATTAAGACACTATTTTTCTGATTTATTTTATTTTTTCCTAACATAAAGATTAAAAAAAATTTAAACGAAACTAATATTCCGCATAAAAATAAAATATTAGCTCAAATAAAAATATATTAATATATTTTAGTGTATTATAATTTAACTTAAGAGACTATAACTAGCATTAATATAATTCATAAAAAATAAATAAAATATAAAATAATTAAGACACTATTTTTTTATTTATTTTATTCTTCCTAACATAAAGATTAAAAAAATTTACATGAAACTAATATTCCACATAAAAATAAAATATTAGCTCAAATAAAAAAAAATATTAGTATATTTTAGCGTATTACAATTTAACTCAAGAGACTATAACTTGCATTAATATAAAATAAAAAAATAAATAAAATATAAAATAATTAAAACCTTAAAAAAAATCCTCCAAACATAAGTATTCCTTCTTGAATCCAAAACCTATTTCCGTCACAACAACTTATTACCATATTGTGACCTCCATTCATTTATGTTAAACTAAAATTATATAGAATAAGCTAGTAAGACTTCCTCTATAGTTAGATATATTAACATCTCGAATAATTATTACAAAATGTTAAATCCTCGCATTGATAAATATAAACATATTTTTTTATAAATTATAATATGCCATGTAGTCTCTCTAGTTAAATTGTAATACGCTAAACTATACTAATATATTATTTTTTATTTGAGCTAATATTTTATTTTTATGTGTAATATTAGTTTCATTTAAATATTTTTAATCTTTATGTTAGGAGGAATAAAATAAATCATAAAAATAGTGTCTTTATTGCTAAATTATATTATTAAAAAGATTAAAATGCTTATATAAATACAATCATGTGTTACAACTATACAAAGATTAATTTTTACGGTAGAGTTTAAAAATAAATAAATATTTTTTTTTAAAACTCACATAATATACTTTTATGGTCATTAAAAGTAGTTGAGAGAAGTGGAACAAAATAGAAAAAATGAAATAAAAAAGTAAAAAGGGACTATTTTGTTATTTTTATATATTTTAGGGGTTATTTTTAAAATTTTTACAAATTACTGGGTATTTTTGTATTTAAATTTATTTATTTTATTAAAAAACTAACGGAAATCCGTTAATTTGGACGGAAAATAGGTCGATTGCACGAAATTGGCGAAAATTTTAAATATTAGGATAAAGTTGGTTAATTAAAAATCTATTGAATATGATTAATGAAGGCAAAGCTTTGAATAGGAATGACATTTCGTTGTAACACTCGTTAGTGGTAGCACTAGTTAAGTTGGCAAACCGTAAGCGACTTTGGTAAAAATAAGATTATCCACAAACATCGAAGTCTACGTGTCCCTCTTCTCCTAAAAGGCTAAAACCTCCAGATTTAACCGCCACTGAGCTAAGTCTGCAACTTCATTCGGCTCCCTCTTCTTCTTCCTCACCATTTTCATACTTCAAAATTCAAATCAGTTTCCTGGCAAAGGGGAAACAAAACCCATGTCCAAATGACCACGATATCGTTATCCTTATCCCCAATTCCCCGCCCTATCTCAATCTCTGTCATTCCCTTTCCAGCCAAACTCCCAAGCCTTCAATCCGCCACCTTCGACCGCCGGCGGCTCCTCCTCCCTCTGACCTCCGTCTTTGCCCGAGCAAAGTCCAAAGAACTCATCCTCGGAAACCCTTCTGTGACGGTGGAAAAGGGCAAGTACAGCTACGACGTCGAGACCCTTATCAACAAGCTCTCTAGTCTTCCTCCCCGTGGTAGCATTGCTCGATGCCTCGACGCCTTCAAGAACAAGCTCTCCCTCTCTGATTTCTCCCTCGTTTTCAAAGAATTCGCCGCCCGCGGCGACTGGCAACGGTCTCTTCGTTTGTTCAAGTATATGCAGCGGCAGCTATGGTGTAAGCCTAATGAACATATTTATACTTTAATGATTGGAATTCTTGGCAGGGAAGGCCTTTTAGAGAAAGCTTACGAAGTGTTTGAAGAAATGCCTGAGCATAATGTTGTTAGGACTGTTTTATCCTACACTTCTATCATTAATGCCTTCGGCCGAAATGGTCAGTATGAAACGTCTCTGAAGTTGCTTAGGGAAATGAAGAAAGAGAGAATCATGCCTAGTATTTTGACTTATAATACCACCATTAATGCTTGTGCCCGTGGCGGGTATGAGTGGGAGGGTCTTCTTGGTTTATTTGCAGAGATGAGACACGAAGGAATTCAACCCGATTTAGTAACATATAATACTTTGTTAAGTGCTTGTGCGAATCGGAAATTGGGGGATGAGGCCGAAATGGTGTTTAGGACGATGAATGAGAGTGGGGTTTTACCGGATATAACTACCTTTAGTTATTTAGTTGAGACATTTGGAAAGTTGGGAAAGTTAGAGAAGGTAACTGAGTTATTGAGAGAAATGGAGGAAGATGGGAATTTGCCCGAGATAACTAGTTATAATGTGTTGTTGGAGGCCTATGCGGATTTAGGGTTGATAAATGAGGCCTTGGGAGTGTTTAGGCAAATGCAGGCAGCTGGTTGCATGCCTAATGCCTCTACTTATAGTATTTTGCTTAACCTATATGGGACTCAAGGGAGGTATGATGAGGTTAGGAATCTGTTTCTTGAAATGAAGGTGAGTAATACAGAACCGGATGCAGCAACGTATAACATACTTATTCAGGTTTTTGGAGAGGGGGGGTATTTTAAGGAGGTGGTGACTTTATTTCATGATATGGTAGAGGAAATTGTAGAGCCAAATATGGAGACATATGAGGGATTAATATATTCTTGCGGGAAAGGGGGCCTTCATGAGGACGCAAGGAGAATTCTGCTCCACATGAATGGTAAAGGAGTGGTTCCTAGCTCGAAAGCATGGACAGGAGTAATTGAAGCCTATGGACAGGCTGGGTTGTATGAGGAGGCTCTTGTTGCATTCAATACAATGAATGAGGTCGGGAGCATTCCAACCGTTGAGGCATATAATTCTTTGCTTCATGCATTTGCCAAAGGAGGACTCTACAAAGAATGTGAAGCAATTACTGCTAGAATGGGAGAGCATGGAGTCCAGCGGAACAGTGATTCGTTTAATGCTGTCATTGAAGGATATAGACAGGGTGGGAAATTTGAGGATGCCATGAAGGCTTATGTTGAAATGGAAAAGGCGAGATGTGACCCTGATGAGTTTACCCTTGAGGCAGTTTTAAGTGTTTACTGCTTTGCAGGTCTCACAGATGAGAGTGAGCAGCAGTTCCAAGAAATTAAGGAGTTGGGTATATTGCCAAGTATAATGTGCTATTGTATGATGCTGGCAGTTTATGCGAGAAGTGCGAGGTACGATTCGATTATAGTTGCTTTTCTTGTCTCTCTGTGGCTTCATATTTGCATAACTATAAGTCTTGTTGCCTCAACAAGCAGCAGGAATTTACTTGTGCTATAGAATATATACTGGTAATATTGTTTCTGTATACTCATAGTAGCTTTTATAAGTGAAGCTAACGCAAATTAGTCACTGCGGCTCATGAAAGAAAAATATAGTTTAGTTTACCGTTAAAAGTTGATGTGGAATTTGAAGTGTTTTTAATGTAGAAATTCTGTGGAGAATATTCAGATAAAGTGCTACAATTTTCAATCCTTTCTGTCTTGTTACAGTGAAAGCCTTTCTTTTGAACTTTATGTGTTACATACTCTGGACTCAGATTTATTTAACTGACTAGCACTCTTTAATGGTTAACGGTTTCGAGTATCTGACGGAAAGTTACTCAAGGAGCTTTGTCTATCAAGTGCATTCTGTAGTATGTTCGATTTAGGTATCATCAATCCTTAGAATACTTTCAAGTGTCTAGTTCATTTCATATTAATTTTAATTAGTCGATTCATTTTCATATGAGAATTCCTTGCTTCAGCAGTTACTTCTTCTGAAAGAATGAATAAATAAAGATGAATAAAATTAAATGAAGTGAAGACAGAGAGGAAGAAGACTAATTGGAGTATTCCTTTCTTTCTTTTCTGGATTAAATGTAATGAGTTCTGCCCTTGTAAGATTATTCAACTGCTTCTGGTCTTATCAAAAGATTTGTTCTTCAACATAAAGAATAGGCAACACAAGTTGTGGAAACTTATGGTTCCTATGGGATTTGGTGCACGCATTCAACCTTTTCTATGGTTGGGTTACATATTTCAGGGCTAATCAAGTTGTGACCAATTTTGTGAACTTGTACTTGATTTACGATGTCTTAGGTTTGGCATGTTGGCTTCTTTGCAGATGGGACAAAGCCTATGAATTGCTGAATGAGATGCTTTCGACTAAAGCATCCAATGTTCATCAAGTTATTGGGCAGATGATCAAGGGTGACTTTGATGATGAAAACAACTGGCAGATGGTAGAGTACGTTTTCGACAAACTGAGCTCTGAAGGTTGTAGTTTGGGGATGAGATTCTACAATACACTTCTTGAAGCACTTTGGTGGCTTGGCCAGAAGGAAAGGGCAGCAAGAGTACTGGATGAAGCAACAAAGAGGGGAATCTTTCCTGGGTTATTTCGTTTGAACAAACTTGTTTGGTCTGTGGATGTGCACAGGTGGTTTTCTATTTCCAGACTCCAAAAGATGCTATTTTCTGTTAAGGAATTTTCTTATAGTTATAAGAATAACATATGTTCAATTTTTGCTTCTCATCCACTCTTGTTTTTCATGAATTTCTACCATTTTAGGATGTGGCCTGGTGGTGCTTGTACTGCAGTTTCCGTATGGCTGAAGAAGATGCAAGAAATATCCTGTAATGAAGAGGAGCTTCCGCATCTTGCAACAGTTGTCTTGGTGTAGGTGTTTCTTTTCCTTCTACAACCAGAGTGACCTTGTGTACTTAATGTTTGCATGCATAATGTTCCATGTACTTTTGTCACTGCTAAAGATACCAGAAGTAGCTACATAGAGATTGAGTAAAGGACATAGCAATTTAACCTTGGAACAAAAAGGAAAATCTAGCATAGATTGTGCAATTTTTCCTTCTTTTTTTTCTCATCTGACGTTGAAAGCCTTGTGTCCTTTTTATGTTTCAGAAGAGGACAGTTGGAAAGTAGCTCAATAGCACAAGATTTCCCTGTTGCAAAAGCTGCGGATTCCTTGCTAAGGGATACTGTTTCATCGACCTTTGGTTTCCCTGGATGGAATAACGGGAGGATAGTCTGCCAAAAATCTCAGCTTAAGCGCATCCTATTTACCAGAGAAACATCCTCTGAAGGAACTGAAAGTGATTTTACAATTAATCTGAGTAACTCTCCTTTTCCTTTCGTGGAAACAAAAACATCCAGGAATGAAGTCAAGAGAAGGCAACAAGATAGTGCTGATAACGAGGCAGGCATTAGAAAGAGAATGGAACTCACTGCCAGTTCCATTTAAACAGATAAGGGTATACCTAGATCAGTTTTTGGTCCAATATTTGTGTGGGAAAGAACTGAAGTGAATGATTGTTGAATCAAGAACGCCTCTACAATGATTGTTGAGCTAAGATCTGCACTAAACCGTGCATGGGGAGTTCAAGTGAAGATCCTGAGCTAGCTGAATACGTTGAATAGGATGTAGAATTCTCTGAATCTCGTGAAGTTCAGCGTGATAGTTCAATAGATTGTGTTGCCACCCTTTTTTTGTTCTTGGCTTAGAAACAGGAGGCGAGGCAGACATTGACAGCAGTCAGATAAAATCCTTGTCCTGATTGGTTCATGTCTCTCACTTTCTCTTCCACTCTCTGTATCCTGGTGCTAAAGATTTGATGCATCTCATTCCCGAGGTGAGCAAAGGTCCTATAAGTTACAGTTTGGGTAAAGTTAGATTTATCTTAAAAATTCTTTGTTTCTAACCTAGGAAGTTTTGAATTTTTGTAACTTAAAAGATGACTATAGATTGAAAACTCCCGAAATTTGCTAAAACATACATGATGGACCATACACTGTTTCAGTCTACTTGTCATGAATAGATAGTCTCTGATGTCGCGGAAGCTCTTGTTCGACTTTTCTTAATTTTTATCCAACCAAAGTGTGTTTAGGCAGTCAATCAGTCATCATTGTGGGGAAATGGAATGCTGTCTATTCTTCTTCTTTTTTTTTTTAATTCTCATATGGAGAAATTATTTATATACTTGATATAATCAAATCATTGTTGTACCTAATAAAAGAAATATTGTAAAGATGGGAGAAACATCTTTAAAGATGAAAAGAGATGATCTTCTTCAGACTTTGCCTTTTAGTCTTTTACCACTTTTCAGGTGAAACTTCTCACATAAAAATGCATTAGATGAGCTAAAAAGGAAGATCAAAAGAGATGGAAAGTGCATCAGTGGACCATCCTCATTCCTATATGCCATTAATATCTGGGCTTTTTCAATTCATGTTTTGGAGAAGAACTAGTTGTAAATTCAGTATTCAGTGCACTATGTCAATAAACTGAAGGCTGAAGCCCACTTTCGTTCTTTGTAGCATTATGCATGTCACCTTAAAATTGTACTCCTACAATTTACTAATGCACGGGAGGAAAAATTTCGTATGTGAGGGAAAGTTTCACTGTCGAGTCCAAATCAGAACTAGAAGAAAAGGAGATGCTGGAACAGCGTAGTTCTTGGTTGAGCATTAAACTTTATGGGATTATTCGGTTTTTTTCCCCACTTTAGTAATTAATCCATCCATTACTTTGAGATGTTACTAAATAAGTTACAGCTTGATGGAGTGAGATTTACTTTAGAGCTGAGACATGAAAGTTTTGTCACTCTAGATTAGGCCTTGTTCTTTTATAAATGATGATTAAGACAAAACATATTCGTCAGTAAACTGAATTAAGACTTGAGTTTTAGAATTTTGTGCTTCGTTTGAGCTTTGAAACCTGAAAGTATTAATTCGATAACCAGATCAATATATATAAGAACTTCCCCTGCAACATTGACAGCCATACTCGAACACTGACAAGCAAAATTTGAAGGAAAGCACACAGATAAATGCAACTAGCCCTATCCTGCAAAATAAGAGCTTGTTGGATTATCAGAATCCGAAATGAAAATTGTACTGGCATGATATAGTTAGATGGTACTTAGATGATAAATTCTGAAAGAACATCAGATATAGTTAGATCATGAGTGTTAATTGTTCCCCCTTTTGCCGATCCGGTCTCTGTAAAATGAAGATTTAAACCATTTACATTTTTTGTCTATAATGGGTATTTCCTCTATACATTCATACTTTCATACATTACATTGGTGGTGTTGACAAGATCATACGCGCAGAACCTATAATTTTTAACGATCATTATTTTTTCTTTACAAGCTTAGTTCTATCTCATACTACCTAGCTAGGTGGTGATAGTAATAGTTTTTAAAGTCTTATTGATGATAAACAAATTTTAAAATGTATCCAACAAATAAATCCCATATAAATTATACTATATATGCTCGTTCAACAATGAGACCGAAAAAAGAGATCAGAAAATTCTCTATACAATTAAGATATTAGAATACTATTCCCGACTTTATACCTCTTTCTAAGTTGGACACATTTTAGCAAAATAATTAAATTCACTTCTGAAAAAAAAAAAATAAAAACCCTCCCATTGTCAACTCAAGAGCAGGAATGTGTGTGTGTGTGTGGGTGGGGTAATAACGCCGGAGAAGTGAAGCCTTTAGCTAACTCACATTTCTATGTTGCGGCGTGTGACCTACACGACTTTCTTGATCGATCAATCCAATAGTTTTTCAAAGACTAAATTCTGAAAATGGTGTTTTACATGCCAAAGCCAAATGCACATTTTGATTTTCTAGATTAATATTTAGTTAAAATGGTCTTTTACATTTTGTTTGTAACTTTTTTGGTCTTATGACACTATTTTACGACGTTGACCATATTTTGGTTGAAGTCAACAGCGGTATTTACGGAATAAAAAATATTTATTTTCTAAAAAATTATTATTGAATAAAATACTATTAAATTAATAAAAATTGAAATTTTATAAATTATTTTTTAAAAAATAAATTTAATTTTGTAAAAATACTTGTCAGCCTTTTTAATCCTCCAAATCCGGATCTCACTTTATTACTAAATTAACAAAATATTAATTTAAAAAATTCCAAAATTAATATATCTTTTTGACAGACTAATTTGTGAAATTGTAAACAAGTTCATAGTTTAATATTTTTTTATATAATATTTTATTAGAAATAATTCTAATTCTTGTACAATTGTAAACAATTTCAGAATTTATTATTTTTTAAAGTACATAAATTTTTGAATTTTTCAAAATAATAATTTTCATTTGGAGTTTTTTTTATGAATTTAATGTTATTTTAATATTTAGATTATTAGTTTATTCATACAACAAAACCTCTATAATATCCTCATATATGTATATCAATAATCTCTATTAAATAGTAATTTTTTTAGTCCGAAATTGGGACAAGCAAAATATGAAGAAACTCAAGATGATTTTTTAAAGGAATCCACTATGTGAATATAATTACCTATAATTTTGTAAATTAAAAAATCAAAAACAAAAAATTATATTTGAATATATTCTTAAATTTAAATTTAATTATTTTTTATACCATAGATTGTCACAAAATTAACACTTTTACTATATCCCAAGCCCACCAAATTTAAAATAATATAATAAATTTTATAACAAGAAGATACAAATCTTTTTATTAATATGTATTTTATTTTAAAAATTTAACTTTTCTGAATTTTTCATTAAATTATATTTATTTGAATTTTTATTTATTTTTATAATATAATTATTTTAATATTCAAATTAATATTTAATATTCATTCTATTGATTTTAAAAAAATTCATAAATTTATGTACTATACAAAAAAGACTAAATTCTAAGTTGTTTACAAATGTACAAGATTTAGAATTATTTTAATAATATATTAATCTATGAAATTTGAATATAATTTCAGAAATTAGTCTTTTTGGTGCAAATGTCAGCATGAATCATACATCATGAACAACCCAACCTAAAAAACAAAACATTTACAGCTTTTTTGGTGCAACGTTGTTTTACACCGCCGAAAAGTGTTAGTTATTGGTTAGATCATGATGTTGTGGGTGTTTCTTATCTTGGTAGTGTTTTAATTTCTTGCAATTAGAGCAATCACAAAGGAGGGTATAGTATCTGATACTACACTTATTTTTTACAATTCAACTAATGTGAAGAGTTGAGGGCCGCTGAGTGGGATAGTGCAAGCAAACCACAATTTTTTGTCCACTTTTATGACATATGTCCCCTTATTATTAGTGATCCACTACAGAAGTTTAAAACACAAAAAGTAAAAAGAATTGAAAAAAAAAGTGTAGGACCCAAAAAAACTGTGCAACCATTGTAAAAAAAAAAAAAATCAAAGTGGAGCGTTGAATAATATGATGTGGCGCTGAAAAATTCAGTCAAAATAGGTTAGGGCCTGTTTAATACATATTTATGTCTAATTCTGAATGTTTATTACTGAATTACAAATGTTGAATTCATTATGGAGTTAAGCAATAAGCATCAAGCAAACTTTTATTACTTATATTTTGTGCTGCAGTTTCAATACCACTTAATTCATTAAGAGGTTCCGTTTTTTATTACCAAACATGCTGAAGTCAAAAAGTGTTTAATGAAATAATTTTAAGCAATAATTGGCGTTATCAAATAAGCCCTAAACTAAAGAAGCACCAATTCGACATTTTGAGGCAGCAATCCAATAAGTTGTATCTTGGCAGTAGCACGTTTTTCACATACTGCATCCATTTCCAAATTATCAACAGGAAGACCTTTCGGCGACAAATCACGAGGATCAATAACTAATCTCTCAAAGGAAACCCCATTTTCTACAAAATACTTAATAAACTCAATTTCGGTTCTACATCCAGAGTACCCCAGAACTCTACAACTTTCAAATGCTTAAGGGGAATTTTCGATATTCCTTCCATAGGTTCTAGGGCATATATCGTTATGGTCACCCCAGGGAGAGGAAAACCAAGACTCATCCACATCATCGGACCACTGAGTCTTCATCACAAACTTCTCCAAGTTGGGAGATGCATTTACTAGAGAAATAAAATCAATCAGGCTCACGTCCTTTCTTGGATACGAGACAAAAAGAGTTAATTGCTTCAGCTGAGGAAGTACTACATTTAAATCTTGAACCATTGGTATTCTGGTAGTTTAATATTTTTAAGGTAAGAATCTTTAATCTCGAAATGCAGCAAGAAAACCAGGAAGACCATAGTATTATTTTCCTACAAGAAAGTAGGTCTAGTATTATTTGTACCAAAAAAAAAAAAAAAAAGAAGAAGAAGAAGAAAATAGTGCCAGCAACAGTTTTATTCATACATAATTAATTATGTCCTTTCTTTGATGCATACTGTATATTGCAATTTATTTTGCTTCTCTCTTTCACTTTTTTCGTACCCAACAACCATGGAGTCCATAAGGAAGACCATAAAAAGGAATTTCGCACTAGCGATTTCTTAAAAGTGGATCCATCCAGAACCAAGGCATATCTATTTTTGCCACTAATTATAGAGATTATTACCGCTCCTCTTAATATACGAAACTAAAGTAGGTTATTTCATTTGGGAAAATGTTCAACCTTTGTACTTTGTTTTTTATGCCAAAATAATTATTTTATTTGTTTATGTGACAATTATTTTGAAAACCATGAAGTAGACATAATAACAATTTAATGAGAAGATGATTAATCTACAACGTACCATGATCTTCTGTTGCAGCCCCAGGCCGAGGCACGAAGAACGGTTCAGACGGTATGGAACCTTCGTCAATCGTCATGCTAATTTTTTTACCTTTTTCTCCAATAGGGAAATCTATAAAAGAAAATAACTACCCCTGATGATTAATTTACTTGGTTTTTTGTTTTGATTATGAACCACAAAAAAATAAGAGGCGCAATCGAAAATCCACGATACTACATCAATAAGCCGCTTGATTGTTATCTTAGACAAAATGTTCTTTTCCTTACAGGAATAAAAAAAAATTAAAATAAATAATACCTCTTCTGTCCAAATAATAATAATAATCCACTTTGAGTTTGGACATTTGTACTAAGTTTATCACAAATTTAAAAATTCAAGTTGAATTTTTTTTTTTTTGGCACGGACAGTGAAAAATAAAAAATAAAAAACCTTTTTAAAGTCTTGAGTAGGGTGCTGCTTCTTCTTCTTTTAGCCGGCTTCTTCCTCGTCGGAATCATTGGCTATCTGGGTTAAAGAGATACTACGTCACCGACGTCATCCTTGGCTCCTTCAACCTAGGTTTGATGTTGCAAAGAGAAGGAATATATGAATTAGGAAGCTAAAGAGACGATATCTTCTATGTTTAAAATTGAAACATGCATTGATGTAGTTAATTTAGGGATTTGATTTTAATAGTAGGATATGATTTAATCTGAAACAATTTCGTTGTGGACACCATTTTAAAGGGAGTTTTTTTTTTTGTTGGACGCGATGATGGAGGCTGAAATTGTAGAGCAGTTATTATGTTGGTGTCACGTATCAAAAAAAAGATTTTGTAATGAAAATCTATTTTAGAGAGAAAATTTTCATTAAGATTTTATCACATCAGCAACATTAATTAAATAATCTATATATATTAATAGACGATAAAATATGCTCATTTGGCATCAAACTAGAAACCTAATAATTGAGTTGGTAGTAAAAAACTAGTGGGTGATCTGCACGTTGTGCGGGTTGTAAAATTTTTCAAGTATTATTTGTGTAAAATAAAGATTATCAAAATAAAAAGTAATTGCGTTAAAAGAT